AGGCTAACAGTTGTGAGTTGTAAAAACAGCTCTTTTCTCATGCTAAAAACGTATAGTACTCGAATATAATAATTCTGATTGGTGATGGTGGGCGAAACTAAAGTTATTAAAGTTGCTTCGCAAAATGACTCACTGATTCGAAGCACTCGAAACGCGAGTGTAAGTGTAAGTGCAACAAAAACTCAGCCCATAATGACACATTATACAAACCAACTGCAAATACTTTCATAAAAGTGTAATCTGCTAAATGAAATCTACAAATAATGACCAAAGTCAATTAAATATGAAGGTTCTGTAAAATCTGTGCGCTTTTATTAATTTGCTTGTTTTGTTTGTTGTTAGACAGGGCTTGGCAAACTATTAGAAGCAGTTCAATGCAGTCCAGTGTGTTAGTTTGGGAAGAAATCCTGAGCTCTAAACACACCTGGGGGGGTTTCTTCAAAGAAGCTGCATCCTTCTCATCTTTTCAGGAGGACCAGGTGCAAGAATGCATTCATAAATCCTACAATGAACCTGAAGTGGCATCGAGAGTCTTGAGCTACAGAGAAACACGACTCGTGATTCTTATCCTTCAGAAGAGAGAGAGAGAGAGAGCAATGAACACTGAATGACATAAAATATACCATTGCTCTCTATACTAGCATTAAAAACCACAAAATTGACATACCAAGTTGAAATTATGACTTAGAAGGTCGAAACTGACACACTAATTCATAATTATGAGATCAAAAGTTAGAATTATGAGATGAAACATCAGAATTATGGCTTAGAAAGTCATAATTATGAGAATATATTTTTTAAATTAAAATAATTTTATAAAAATTGGCCCTTTATCTCATAATATTGACTTTTTATTGTCGTAATTTCAACTTTTTCCTTCATAGTTATGACTTTTCATGTGATAATTTCGTCTTTAATGTCATAATTCCGATTTTTTACTTCATAATTATGACCTTTGATGTTATAATTTCAAATTTCATCTCATAATTCTGACTTTTGACCTCATAGTTATGACTTTTCATGTTATAATTTCGTTTTTAATGTCATAATTTCTACATTTTACTTCATAATTATGACCTTTGATGTTATAATTTCAATTTTTCATCTCATAATTCTGACTTTTTACCTCCTAGTTATGACTTTTCATGCTATAATTTAGTTTTTAATGTCATAATTTCTACATTTTACTTCATAATTATGACCTTTGATGTTATAATTTCAATTTTTCATCTCATAATTCTGACTTTTTACCTCCTAGTTATGACTTTTCATGCTATAATTTAGTTTTTAATGTCATAATTTCTACATTTTACTTCATAATTATGACCTTTCATGTTATAATTTCGTATTTAATGTCATAATTTCGACATTTTACTTCATAATTATGACCTTTCATGTTATTTCAATTTTTCATCTCATAATTTTGACTTTTTACCTCCTAGTTATGACTTTTCATGTTATAATTTTAACATTTCATCTCATAATTTTGACTTATCAAAGAATGATTTTTGTTTTCTTACGTGGCGGAAGTACTTTTATGATAATGACACGATGATTACGCTTTCGTTTCTGGAGTTCTTAGAGGACTTTTATTTTGAAAGCAGCAGTGCGTTGTTGTGTTTCCGGTGCCGATCGCTTGATAGCTTTAGCTGCTAATTGAGGACAGTTTTGGGGATTTTTGTGTTGTTGAAAGGAAGATTTCAGAGCTCAGATAGAAACTCAACACTCGTCTGCTGTACAAACCTTCAAATCGTCTCTGATATGGACGAATCGCGAGTGTTTGCGTCGATGTTGGGCTTTCTGCTGATGTGTGTCGCCTTCCGTGTTTCTGAGGCAAAAACAACTCCAAAAACAACAACAATTCCACCTACAGCTCATCCACTTGTTCACAAACGTATGTTTTTACTTCTATCTTCTTCTTTTTAATCACATCTCTCTATTTTGCAGCTTGAAAATGCTTGTAATATAAATATGTATGTAAATATATGAATACGTGTAAGTATGTTGTCATAAATGATCATTATTATAGTATATGTATATTACCATTATTAATATTTACGTATTATAATATTTCCATAATTGATTGGATATGTTTAATATAAAACTGTCACTAATTTTAATGTCAGTAGTGTTAGTCAATGATATAAAAACACTGAAAGGACGTTTGCAAACAAGTAAAAGTTACCTATTTTGTTGAAGTCAGTGAAATATAAAAGTAACTGACCTTTTTATCAGTCAGTTATGCTGTTATTAATCATCCAGTGTGTGATGTGGTGTATTTATGGTCGCACTAAATTAAGCATTTAAAGTTATGTGTTGCTTTATCAGCCGTCTGATCATCTAGACAAATCTTTGGCCAAATTCAGCTCTTTATTTATTTATCTTATGTCAGTGATTTGTCTGATCTGTATGTTTGTGTTCTTCTTTCTCGTCCCAGCATGCAACACAATGACTTCCTGTGAGACGTGCCTCGCCAATGTCTCGGTGAGATCACATGATGCTCATTTAGTTTTTATTAGCCAAGTCTTACCATCTGAACTTTTTGTAAATGAGTATTGTAATATTTAGGGAAGTTTTTGATGTAAGACTGTCAGAAATCTGCTCAGATGCTCCAATTTGATTCATTATAACTTCATTATCACTGCACTTTGTTTTTTTTATATTTTAAGCATCTTATGAAATGTAAATTTTTTTTTTTCAAACTGATTTTCGCCATTTGGTCAAATAAGATGAATGCTGTAGTGACACAAACCAATGATAATGCAACAGAACATCACAGAATGCATTGATGATAATGTTTGTGCTGCTGATTTCCTACTAAATGATCTCACTTCCTGGAGAATGCCAATAAAGAAAATAACATAAAAAATGAATGAATGAATTAATGTTTTTATGAATGAATGTAACATCCTGGAGGATGTCATTAATAATAATAATAATAATAATAAATATTTTTCTAACATCATGGAGGATGTCATTAACATTAATAATAATAATAAATGCTTTTGTAGCATCTTAAAGGATGTAATTAATAATAATAATAATAATACATATTTTGTATTATGTAATTATTAATAATAATAAATGTTTTTTAACATCTTAGAAGATGTAAATAATAATAATAATAAATATTTTTCTAACATCCTGGAGGATGTCATTAACATTAATAATAATAATAATACATATTTTGTATTATGTAATTATTATTATTATTATTATTAATATAACATCTTAGAAGATGTAAATAATAATAATAATAAATATTTTTCTAACATCCTGGAGGATGTCATTAATAATAATACATATTTTGTATTATGTAATTAATAATAATAATAATAATAAATCCCCCCTAACATCCTGGAGGATGTCATTAACATTAATAATAATAATAATAATAATAATAATATATGTGTTTGTAGCATCCTGGAGGATGTGATTAACATTATTAATAATAAAAAAGGTGTTTTTTCCTAACAGTGTTTGTGGTGCCAGACGAACAGCAGCTGCTCAGATTATCCGGTGTCGTATGTGATTCCTCCGGCCTCGGTGTGTAAACTCTCTCAGGCGCGCTGGGGTGTTTGCTGGGGTGAGTTCATGTTCGTGCTTTAAGCAGCTTTAAGATGCACTGAACTGGTTAATATACCTGCTGATCTCTAATGTACAGCAGCTGCTGAGCTGATGGAAGTAATACTTTCACATTGGTGAAGGGAGATTTGCATTCAGGCCTGGAAGTCCCCAGTTGTTTTGTCACGTCCTGAGGACATTACGCTCATTATTATGCGGATCTCTAGAATACTTGATTCTGATTGGCTGTTCGTGGCATTCAGCGGTTAAATAGTATTGAATAATGATGACCGTCATCCAGAACACAGTATAACTGAGCGCTCATCTGTGAAACCTAGTGCTATTTATAATACTGTTATAGTTTTATTATTTTGAATTATATATTTTATATTTTCAGTTTTTATTTTACTTTCAGTTACATTTTTAGAATTTGTTTTAGTGATTTTATGTGCAATTTATTTTTTCAGCTTTAGTTTTATTTCGGTTAATAATTTTAGTACTTCAGCTTAAACTTATTTCAGTTAGTTGCCATGGCAACCTTTGTAATTAGTTTAGGTTTGTCATTTAATATTTAATTTATGTTTCAGCTTTATTTTATTTCAGCTTTGTTTTTATGTTTAGTGTATTTGACCTTATAGTAAAATTACTTAGGATTTCATAGATGGATGAACGAATATTTAGCTTTAATTTATTTTTATTTTTATTTCAGTTTTAGTTTTATTAATTTTATTACTTCAACTTAAACATAATTCAATTCAGTTAGTTGCCGTGGAAACATTTATTTAATTTAATTGTTTTATAACAACACCAATAATAATAATAATAATAATACATATTTTGTATTATGTAATTATTAATAATAATAAATGTTTTTTTAACATCTTAGAGGATGTAAATAATAATAATAATAATAATAATAATAATACATATTTTGTAACATCCTAGAGGATGTAATAAATATTAATAATATAATAATAATAATATATTTTTCTAACATCCTGGAGGATGTAATTAATAATAATAATAATAATAAATGCTTTTGTAGCATCTTAAAGGATGTAATTAATAATAATAATAATAATACATTGTATTATTTGTATTATGTAATTATTAATAATAATAAATGTTTTTTTTAACATCATAGAGATGTAATTAATAATAATAATAATAATAATATTTTTCTAACATCCTGGAAGGTGTTTTTTCCTAACAGTGTTTGTGGTGCCAGACGAACAGCAGCTGCTCAGATTATCCGGTGTCGTATGTGATTCCTCCGGCCTCGGTTTGTAAACTCTCTCAGGCGCGCTGGGGTGTTTGCTGGGGTGAGCTCACCTTCATGCTTTAAGCAGCTTTGAGATGCACAGAACTGGTTAAACACACTAATGTACAGCAGCTGTTGAGTACTTTCACATTCAGGGCTGGAAGTCCCCCGTTCAGCTTCCCTTCACTTACTATGCAGATTTATAGAATACTTCATTCTGATTGGCTGTTCGTGGCGTTTATTTGGTTAAATATCAATAAATAATGACAGTGTAACTGAGCGCTCAGCCGTGAAACCTAATGTTATTTATATACTCTTATAGTTTTTATTCATATTTTGAATTATCTTCTATTTTATTTTTTCAGTTTTTATTCTAATTTCAGTTAAATTTCCAGAAATTTAGTAATTTTATGTTTTTATTAGTTTTTAAAAAATATTAAAAAAAATGTTTTTTTATTTTTTTTATTTCTTTAACTTATTTTAGTGATCATGTTTTCATGCTGCAATGATTCAGATTCATGTTCATCAACAAAATTCAGTCCCAAAAGTGTGTGATATATGAAGAAAAAGCTAAATATATTTTTCCAAATTTGTATAATTTTAATAAAAAAAATTTTTTTTTGGACACTGATATAACTTCATAGATAATTTTACAGAAAGTATTTTTGACACATATACACACATATACCTGGTTATATATCTTAAAAAAAAATTTGTAAACAAAAATGATGTGTATTTTGTGGGTCATAATTTTGTATGCATCTCAAAACAGACCCGAATGTGTTATAAAGGATAATTCTAGATAATGCAGTTATATTGCACACTGTCACATGTTAACAATAAAAACAATTACACAACTCCTCCATCATGAGAGCAGTGTTAGGTCACCTGCACTATCAGTAAACGTCCAGCAGGTGTCAGTAGTGACCGACACACGGCTCTGTTTCAGCAAGCATCCCTGATCTTCAGTGTCGTGATGTTGTGTTGTGCGTTGTTTCAGTGAACTTCGAGGCTCTGATCATCGCGATGGCTGTGGTGTGTGGGACTCTGCTGCTGGCCGTCTCCGTCTGCTGCTGCTGCTGCTGCTGCTGCTGTAAACGCAGACGCTCGTCCAGGTCAGATCTTACAGCCTTCATATCAGCTTCACTGCCTCTTTTCTTTAAATAGTCACAGGTTTCACTTCCACCTCAGAGCCACCTCTGTGATCAAAGATTAACCCTGTAATTGTGTGAAACTGATCAGTTTATTGAACCCTGTAAAGCCTGACATATGAAATAATTGTAAGAAAAGTCTAGTTTTTTACACTTTACTCAACCTTTAGACAAAATGTGGCCCTGGAGCACAAAACCAGTCTTAAGTGTACATTTTTCAAATTCTTTGTAATTAATTGTGAAATTCACTAGCAATTTCTGAGTGAAAATTGTTTCTACAGTTAAGATTTTTTGCATCGTGACATTATTTTACCATAATGCAAAAACTCTTATTCTCTTTTGGATGAACTGCTTCTTTAACCTTCATAATGTATTCAAAATCTATATACAGTTTTTGCATTTTGGGTCTGATTGTTTTTTTTTTAAATGCAGTCATAACTTAATGCTTTTCAAGTAAAGACATATTGTATCTGATCAGCAACTTCTCATTAAGCATTAAATGTGAAAAAATGCAAACTTTTGAATGTTACCACGTTTTTACTGCACTTACAGGGCTCGACAGTGCGACCATGAGCAGCCGCGTTCAGTTTTTAATTGTAGTGTCTGTTCTTTTACTGAACTATTACTATAAAAAATTAAAACGACGGTGGGGGTCAGTGCCACGGTGGGCAAGTGACGTAACCGGTGTTGCGGCTTAACAACAGTATCACCGTCAGCACCGTCTATCGCGGCAAGCCTACTCAGAAGACCATTTTTGATCATTTAGAGACCTCAGAAATTCATGCATCAAATACGATACACTAGGCTTTATAGGGTTAATAAACACAAATGCATTTTGTATTGCATTTATTTATTAATTCATCAAGAATAACATAAGAATTGATGTTTTTTCCCCCCAAAGAGATTATTTTTAAACAGCCGGTTCTGTGTTTGACGGGTTGTAAAGGGCACGTGTCAATCAGAGACGATTTGATTTGTCAAGTCTTTTATCTTCTCAAGTCTCATGACGAAACGCAGATGTGCTTCACTTACAGAAGCAGAAGCGCTCCCTCGATCTCTCATTAATGCTTATGCAGCTTCATGTGATGGTCCTTTGTTCTGGGATGTTTCGAATTTGTTTTACGGCTAGACTGCAGATCACAGTTTCACTTTTCCTTCTCATTCGGCGTAAATTATGTTTTATTGTCTTTTATGATTGAAGGGGAATTCATGTGGCTGTAGTTTCTGTCTTTGTTCTCGGTTCTCAGAAATGATTTTTCTAGTGCTAATGTAAAATAATGTAATGTCGCAGCATTAATTCAGCTTTATGTTTTCTTTGATAAAAATAGCTGCCAGGTTGATATCATACGTGACCCTGGAGCACAAAAGCAGTCTTAAGTCGCTGGGGTATATTTGTATAAATAGCCAACAATACATTGTATGGGTCAAAATTATCCACTTTTCTTTTATGCCAAAAATCATGAGGATATTAAGATCATGTTCCATGAAGATATTTTGTAAATGTCCTACCGTAAATATATCAAAACTTAATTTTTGATTAGTAACATGCATTGCTAAGAACTTCATTTGGACAACTTTAAAGATCCTATCCTAACAAACCATACATCAATGGAAAGCTTATTTATTCAGCTTTCAGATGATGTATACATCTCAATTTCAAAAAAATTTACCCTTATGACTGGTTTTGTAGTCCAGGGTCACAAATGAAGTCCGGTTTTTCATAAATGTGCTGATAAAATTTTGTGTAATTGCAGTAATTATGACATGACATGAATATGCTGTAATTCACTCAAGCCTGTTATTGTTAATGTACTAATATACTATTCAGTAATATTCTGAATTGGCTTTTGCTTCTATATTTGCAGTTTTGACCGTGATGATGAGCAGTTTGCCCGGAGACGAGAGGAGATCAGACAGCGAGCAGATGAACGGTATGTAAATCTCACCGCTGTGAGTTAAAGGGGTGATTGACTGCTTTTTTTCTAGGCTTGATTGTGTTTATGGGGTGCAGTCTAGGGCTGTCAAAAAAAAAAAAATTAGAATTTCGAATATTTGTCGAATTTAAAATAAAAATCCACATTCGAATGCAAAAACATAGCCTTTTATCAGTGGCTCACAAGATGCGATGACGATGTAAGTGTCATTGCATTTTAATGATTTTCATGGCTTATCCAGTTAAACCCACTAGATGCGGCGCTGCTGGTTGTTCATTCAAAATATTGCGGGAAAAGAGAGCGTCAATGCGGGGAAGATGTTGTTTACGGTGAAACTGAAACCAAGCCGGTCACACAGAACGCATATTTATCGCATTTTCTAGAGGGACATCTATCACCTTTACACTCGCGTCTCGCACAAGAGAGCCGCATGTTTAGAAAGCCATGCAAAATTAATGTAAGTTAAACTTTTAAAAAACATGTCTTGAGACTTTATGGCGGTTTTTCCCCTTCCCACTGCATCTCAAGTTTTTAAATAGAAAAAGTACTCTTTGTGATTGGTTTTCGGTCCTTTGTATTAAACTATACATACATACACGATGCTGCTTTGCAACTTCTGTGAAAACCATTTTGAAATCGGACATTGCGTTACCATGGAAATGGTACTTTAAATGGTAATCTTTTGGCGGTCTCCTCCCCCTTAGTGGGCAGTGTCAAGTGTAATATTACAAAGCGCATTACGGTCTTTTACAATCAAACCTTTTTATAATCTTGACAAAAAACATAATTGGAAAGGTCTGAGTCTCAGGATTCCATATATGGTGGTTATTTTGAGATAGAAGTAATATTGACAGAGAAATCTAGACATTTGTGACAGAAAAATGCATTAAAAAAATTCAATAGAGTTTGGATTGCACCCGGTGGCTGTTTGTGGTATAACGCCCTAAATAAAATCTCACAGGAACCTGTTTTTTTCATATCAACTTCAAATTTGGAACATAACTTATTTAGACATAAGGCTTTAATTTTAGAGTAAAACCTGCTATGTAAAATATTTACTATATATAAAATAAAATTAGTATAGTGCATTTTCTTTACAGTACATTTAAACTTCTATAACTTTTTGATACTTTAATTTTTTGAAAAAA